ACTGAAGCCTCGCTGCTTGTGCGCAGCGGCCTCTACGGTAAAGGTATCCTGAGCTCCAGGAGACCGGGTCCCAGGAGGGGTGGAGTTTTGGGTTTAGGATTTAGGGTTTAGGGTTTAGGATTTAGGGGGCATGTAGTAGACAACAAGGTTTCCTTAACCCTAAACCCTTAACCCTCCCAAGGAAAGGTACGCCTAACTTTGGGAAACTCCAAGACCCTAAGCCCTAAATCCTATATGATCCTCGTCCTGGGGAAATCAAAGGTACACCAGCAACGCCTTTAGCATATCTGGCGCTCTGGTTGCCCTGCACCTTCATCTTGCCCTCCTGGCAGATTGTCGAAAATCAAAATGTATTAGTGCGGCATCTTATTGAGTCCATGTATATAATGTACTCCCAGAAATCATATCGGCAGTCCAGGGACCTCATGAAAGGCACTGATTGTCTGTTTGTCTCACCCAAATTACCACCCCCAGAAACCTCAGGAGGCTGGACGACTCACAAACTCAAGCACAAGAGACTTCGCAACAGGTTACACCGAGCGCCCCGCCCTTCACCTGGGATATACGAATAAACGAAGACAATCTCCTGTGTTCCCCAATGACTCGAAGAATGCCACTGGTGCAGGTCAAAGTGCGAACGTGCGAAGAGCTCGAGGATCCGCTTGAAAGTTTCTATCCGTAGTTGGACCACTTTGTCTAGCTCAACATACGATAATCCTCATTGTCATTTTGATGCGGACTTCCAAAAGGGATCCCCGATGCTTTGAAAATCCTATGTTTTACTGCCGGGAATGGAAAAGAAGTCAGACCGCAAGAGTCCACCTTGCAGGGGAATAGGTAATTGACAATGTCATCCTAAGGTTAAAATGAGCCAGAGTCTAGATCCCAGGCTTCAGGAAATATGGCAAGACTACATGCCAAAACTTCTCACCTCGGCCCCCTTCTTCAGAAAAAACGGACTGTAAATTCTGAGAGGCACAAGTTAATCGTGGATCCTTGTCGTACTTGACGTGGGAAGCTCCGGTGGAGAAGTCCCGCGTGCGGGCAGCGGACGACTTCCACTCCTTGCGGCAGAGGTTTTGCACTTTCAGAGGGTGTAGGCCATGGTTGCCAGGGCGTGTTTGGCATGAAAGCAATATAACTCAAGTAAGGACACTGACACCACGGACACCAACACTAACAAGCAAAGCACCACGGTCCACTTAGCGCTTCGAGGCTCTAAACTGTCATTTGCTACATCCGTTCTGAAGTAGACCCACCCTCCGCGCAAACTTGCACCAACCCCGATCGCACGCTTACGGCTCCGTGTTGTTCAGGAGCTCATCGTAGACATCTGGATCCTCAGCTCCAGGTGCTTAGCCCAGGCCCTGTGTATCCATGTGTGGCCCAAAGGCAGCCCCAGAAAGACCAAGATGTGTCTTCAATGAATACCGACTCCATCTTCCTTGCTCAGCCATTAAGAGGAGCTTACATTTTCCCTTGCGATGTGTATGGTTTCGAGTGTGCCGCCTGATTCACGGCTGTCTCCAACGGCCAGAAATTACTGAAATTCACAGGGGGCACACATACACACACAAATACACCAGCAGAAGGCCCTGAAGGAGAGAAGTTCCAAAGCAACATTGTGTTTACATGGTAGTATCCAAGGTCTGTTCCATTATCCCTATAGAACCCTATGCTACCTTATATAATCCTATATAACTCTATATTACCCTAGCAAAGCTCCATAAACCAAGCCACGAGGCAGAAATCAACTACTCACAAATCGGTCCATCAGCTCTTGATTACTACAGATACATGTTACAGATTGTTCCACTCATTGCCACAGACTCTTCATGGGCGTTCCCGGTTAAAGGTTTAGAGAGGTGCCCGGAAATGGGAAAACCACACAAACCTTCAAGCCCTTACCAGCGTAGTAATAGGCTTTACTTTGTATTTCCTCTTTTCCATTTCTCTATGTCCAGTCCCAAAGCTACCTTTTGGACTTCATGTAGTCCCCAAGTCTGCGAAGCTTTGATGATGAGCAGGCATGCATTCTAGGACTTAACAGCATGTGTGTGCGTAAGGGGGAGTGAATCCCTAATATACTCACGCCCAGATCTTCATGCATACCCCTCAAATTGTACCTGCATTGGCTCTTCAACCCCTCTTAAAGCACCTTGCTCATTGGGACATGAGATGTGGGACCTTAGCCACATCTTCAGGTACCCTGCATGCTGCTCAAAGGTTCCACATGGTACTTCCGCCGGACTTCGATGTCGCGCCACCAGGCAGCTGTGGTCACCTCTGAGTTCCTGGCACGGATGACGTTTTAGGATAAAATTCGCCATCAGGATGCCAAACAAAGTTTTACATGAAGGTTTACCCTGAAGCCGAGTCTATCAATGATACCTACTGTGGGCCCAAGCCTACGCATGAACCCTAAATAGTAGTTTCCATGTTCTTCTCGATTATCCCTATATAACCCCCCATATATTACTCCAATACTTCAACCCCTACCTACTTCCCGACTTCTGAGGATTTCAAGAACCTGGGCTGACAAGCAAGGCGTGTGCGATGAGTCCAAGAAATTACAGGCTTGAGGTGTCAACATCATCTTTGTGAGTTCCCTGAGCACCTCCGCCTGTATTGTATAATAACACCTGCTAGACTTCCCCCCTAAGTGGTTGTTTCCAAAAAAGGGACCCCCAAATACGAGACTCCTTATTATAGGGACCCCAATAGGGTAACTGCCTTAGTACCCCTAATTTTGGGAAACTCTCAAGTAGGCTTTTTTAGGTTGAATCGAGGCTACGTGGGGGGTTCCGGGGGGGCGGTTCGCCAACCCATGACATTTGCATAAGCATCCGCTTCCATGTAAGTATCATGTGTAGATATATAACCCAAAACATCTACAAACTCGCATGAACCCCACAAGCATAGCCCGTGTACAACCCTCAGCCTTTATAAACCCAATTAACCCCATTTAGGATTGAGGGTTTAGGGTTCGTAGGCAAACCCACAACCCCAAACCTCAACTACTAAATAGTAGTTTCCATTTTCTTTTCCATTATCCCTATATAACCCCTATAATCCCTATATAACCCTTCCCTCTGGCTCAGGGCTCTGACTCTTGCCACTGCTGCCACGGATCTCCGATAGAGTCGCTTGGCTCGTGGCTGTCTTTGACCCGAGCTCCTTGGACATGTACCTGGGACCAAGGGACTCTTAAAGGGACGTAGGGTATAAAGGGAAGATATGAGAAAACACATAGCAGCTATGCTGCCATCAATCCGAGATGCGAGCTAGACTATAACAGTGGGATGCGGATGGGACGTACTTCGGGATGGTAGGAGGGTTGACATAGAGGGATATAAAGTTGTGTGCAAATCCACTTGGGCGGCAGTATAGTAGGAACCCCCCAAAAGCATGCTTGGCAGCCCTCCACGTCTTTCTCGTTTGTGATGTTGGTCGCAAAAAATCAGGTTTTTGTTGATTGCGGATATTGCCTAACCTTAAACCGAAGAATAGCATCCAACAATGACCCAAATGTGCTGGAATACAGGGTCCCCAAACCCTATAATCCCGATATGACGAATACGCTTAATAGTAGCTTCCATTTTCTTTTCCATTATCCCTATATAACCCCTCTATTAAGCCTAAACCCAAAACAGAAGTTTCCATTTTCTTTTCCATTATCCCTAAACTCTATAGCCTATGAACCCTAAACCCAAGGCTTCCCGAGGTCTGATTTGGCTGGGGGACGAATCATTTTTTATGGTTGAGGCAGTAGGACTAAGGGCCGAGTTCCCTGGCTCCCCCCAAAATAAACTTTTAAGTATAATAGTGGGAAGATGGTATGTACCCCATCAATTAGCTACAAAGAGGCCATTTCCCAAAGGGAGGGGGGCGGCATGCTGGCCCCAAGGGGCATGCTGGGAATATAATGGGATTATGAGGCTCCATTCCAGGGATGGTGTGGGCGCACTGTTGGAAAAGCCCCATGTGCCAGACTTCATTCCCTACACGAAGTACTGGTGTGAATCACCCCAAGCAACACACCGAAGGTTCACCCACCAAAGTCATAGCAGAAAACCTATGCTATACCTCTCATCTCCCAGATAGTCCACCCATGACGTCAGAAGCACCAGAACAGCTGGTTTACCCGCTTGCACGTGCGCCCCCCCAAAAAATGCGACCATAAAAATTGGGAGTATTTGGGCTCGATGAAGCTTATTAGGCCTCATTAGTTTGGGGGGTGCATGTTGAGTTGGCTCGGAGGGCTATGGGTTGCAGGAATGATTCGGACTTACATCTTGGACCTTTGGATCAAATGGATGCGAATGGACACAACCAACTGTCCCACCCAGTCATCCCAATGAGAACATCCAGCTGGGTAGATGTTAAAATTATGGCCCCTTTTTGGAACCCTATGAAAATACGGCACCTAATATTTGGGGTGCTCAAAAAGGGACCATATTTTTGACAACCACCCAGCTCTGCGCGGAGCGGCTCGTGGACTCCCCAGGGACGAGGAACCTCTCGCTCATCTTTCCTGGGCTTCTGCTCCGAAATTAACTACCCTGACATGGATATGTGGTACATAATCTGTTTTTCTCGTGAAATTTGACCTGAATTACCCTGACATGGATATGTGGTACATAATCTGGTTTTCTCGTGAAATTTGACCTGAATTACCCTGACATGGATATGTGGTACCTTATCTGGTCTTCTCGTTGTGGTAATTTAGCCTAATTTCCGGAAGCCCCCGTACAACTCCAATATTACCCGGCTTCCATCATGTTCCATTTGATTTTTCCATCTGATGCTTTATTTTTGCGGCAAAACTGCACTAAGCCCTATGGAACGCTATCTGATCCCAATACAACCCTGACATAACTTCCAAAACCTAGACCCCTCCAAGTTCCCTTTCAGCAGCCCAGTTTCTGCCACCACTTAGCGACGAACTGCTCGGAACGGCCTAGAAGCCTGTCGACTCTATTTGATGAGGGTGTAGGTCTTTGGGTTTTGGATTTTGGTTTGCTTCTATACCCCGAGTTTTTGTTGGGATTCAATGGGCGGTACTTTCAGGGCACCCACATGTTTCATGAACAGGTTTCCTTATACAAGAATAGGGAAACATATGGATCATCCAAAAATATCTACAAGTACCTCCTGTATGGTGCCTGAGCACTTGCAGCCTGCCTTGCATGTCATGACATCCTTGGAAAACTGGTTTTTGGATGCTTACGCAGGCAAAGCCCCCAGCCCCCCCACCCACACACCTTCATGGCCCTGGTCGCCTTTCTCATGGCAACCTGACCGCTTATACGAACTCACACGAGTGACCGCCAATCTCACCTGCTGCGAGTTATGTCCAAACGGCAAGTTCAAACTGCTCTGTGTTGCCAACACAAGGCAAGCGATCTGGAGACATGTGTGAAAGGGCTGTTGATGACTATTGGGAGAGGGAAGCGCCTCTCCGGCAGCAGGGAACGTGCCCACTATAGCGGCATGCTACAGCCGAATACTGCCTGACCGTCCTGAGTCTTTCCGAAAGGCCCCTTGCGCCAGCAGCTCAGACAGTATTGTAGAATCTTAGAAAAAGCGCGGTGCCTTGCAATGTCCGCCTTCGTCTTGCCTTCCTGGGCTGTGCGCAGAAACTGCTGCTGAATCTGAATCTCGCCAACAGCCCATTCAACACTTGAATACCTTAAGCCTCGACACTGAGCATTCGGACCTGACCTGCAAGAGCCAAACGAAAAAACGTACATCCACTGTTGCCGCACTCGCCCTGATATAAACGTCCAGAATCAAAGAATCTTCCTGAATATTGAACACTGAGCCAAGCATCCTTTCGGAAGTGAATGCTCCGGAGACGGTCCTGGAAACACGAGGGTTTCTGGGGGTTTAGGGTTTAGGACTTAAAATCAAGATCCGCAATGGGTTTACCAGGGCGTGGGGCTCAAAATTAAGGAGCTGAGTGCTGCAGTGCCCCTAGCGACCAGTGCCCAAAAAGCTGAGGTTTGCACTACATTAAAGTACTGGAGAGTGTGAGCCGTCAACAATAGAACTTGGGTACAGTTCTGGGATGAGTTGCTCGGAGCATCGGATGAGGAGCAGAGGATTCAGTATGTGCATCTACACATCACCTGGCAAATACCGTAGCCAACGTCGTGCAGTTCAAGTCTCACTACATTGAATCCGGTACGCGAAAAGTCGATGCTTCATAGAAGCTAAGCCCTTAAGCCTAAATAGAGGCCAAAAGCAACCACACTCCTTCTTGAAGTGGTATGCCCAACCGTGGGCTCTCGCTTTGGGGTTGAGGGTTCGCAGTCCTGATACTAGACCTCAGGCACAGCAGACCCCTCAAGTCGCATATTGGCCCTGGTCTAAAGGAACGAGATGGCTGCTCTAAGAAGCGCATCAGGGTCCTCAGTTCCTCATAAAGCCTCCAGATGTTGGAAAAACACTCCATTACTACCAAGCTACTACATATTACTGCTTTCTAGGACCTTCCTCAAAGGGACCCCTAGCTTCTGGAAACTCCGGAATGGCTCCTGGTAGATCTTGTGGCCCTCAGAGGAATTGGATTCGAAGTGCCCCTCCCTGGCACACATGCTATTGCGGTCCCAATGGGGTATGATATATGGGGTTCTTAAGAGGGATATATAGGGTTTAGGGCTTGGGGCTTGGGTTTTAGGGTGTATCAGATGTTGTCTGCCCGATGAAAAGGCAGCGAGACATCTACAGTCAGGACTGCTCTTGATAGTACTCGGAAAAGCAACAATGACAGTTGTCATTAATCTCTCTCTTCCCCAATAACCAAAGCTGAAAAAGTTTAAACATGTTCTTATAGAGACCCAAAAAGGAAGCCCAAAAAGTGTAAAGTTCTTCTATTAGCTAAGTAAGTAATAGTAACTAGTAGTTGCGACGATAAGAAAACGCATAACAATAACAACAAATTGCAATCCCCCCCCTAATTGCCCCCCCCCTGAAGAAACACACCTATATATGACTTTTGCTTTCTGGGCAATGCGACGCCAATGTGCATTCTTAGGGAGATGGGGGTTAATTAGGGGGAGGTGATTAATGTTTGATCCAGATTTGCGGGGGGAGCCTTAATTGGCGAATCTCTGCCGAAATTGTTTCGTTTGGGGGCCCTTCATTGTGCGAAGTTTCGTGGCCACACAAAAAAATCTGAGGAAATTCAGAAAAAGCTGACACCCTTCTGAGCGTTTACCTTTCCTATTGAAATTAATTTCAAGTTAGGATCCAACTTGGTTTGGGGCCCCCCCCCCCTTACATTATTGAGGGACCCTTTTTTGTTGAGGGGGCGCTCCGCCTTCTGGGCCAGATTTTGGAGCACCTCCTTTCGCCTAAATTAGAGCCTGCGTGCTATCTTGTACAACTGTCTTGCAAACATGGAACAGTTTGAAAGAAATTGGAAGCTACTATATAATCCAAGGTATCGGATAGGGCTACTAGATAGACGTCAGTGAAGCACGTGAAGCTATGCTCTCCGACGATTCCTCCCCCAATATGTTTGCAAAATGGCTTGCACTGACTGGAAGACAGGTGGTTCTCTGGGTCTGCGACCCTCATCTTAGCAAAGCAACGCATATCAGCAATTATAAGGTCTATGATCAGCAACTGTACCTACTGGTTCTTAGTAGAGAATATGGGCATATAGTCCCTATACAAGACCTATATAGCATAATCCCTTATTCCCTACTTCGAGCCAATATGGTAGGACAGTGACAAAAGGCATGGACAGGCATGAAGCAGCCGGGTCGCAGCTGGAAATGACTCTCGTCAAACTCGGTGATCTGCTCACCTCCCACTTGAGAAACTGGCTGAGTTTTTTGTGCCAGGAGTCTGCCAGTGTTAGCACGTCTCTTGGCGAAACAGAGCAAATCACTGTCCTTGATGTTAAAATCTTCATGACCTCAATGTACTCAAAAAACACAATTGGCAACGCAAAAGGTGCAAGGGGTCCTGCAGAATTTGTACTATCAACCGTGGCCCATTGGTTGTGATGTCTAGCGGATACATAGATTCTGGGAGTTTTGGCATGCTGTTGATGACTGGCTGGTCGGAGCAAGGTGCCCTTCCGGATTTGGAACCGTTTTCTATGAGGGCGTTGTCTCAAAGGAGGGGGTACCCTGGCAATGCTAGGGATATGAGCTATAGTTTGAACTCCTAGTATCCCCTTTAATAAGCCCTATAATGGTATACTATATGTTCCCCTATATAACCCTCTTACACGATAGCATATGTGAAGGCTACAGGCTAACTATGGGGAAACTGGGGACTATGCAGTGATTGCTCTTGAGAAGTTTCCGTGTGCCTGGATGCTGGCAAAGCAAGCGTCAGGATGCGAACACCTTATTAAGATATTCAACTGTATTTAAAAGGAGGGCGCAAGAATGCGGCGTCATGGGTTTAGGGTTCAGGCTTCAGCACAACACCGGAATATACCATCTCAATTTATCTCGCACAGGCACCCCCTCAAAAAGCACATGCCGAGCTCGAGAAACCCGCTTGCTTGCCCCGTGAGCATCAGCCTTTTCCTCGACGTGTTCCGTCCATGCTACCAGCTTGTAGGTCTGCTTGCTTGATTGGAGGCACCCTGGTTATGAGGCACTATGGGTTCCCAAACGCAATTAAGCCCGAATCCCTAATCCGGTTGCCTTTGTTGGCAAATTCGATCCACCTGTAGATCTTTGTCGTGGAGCTGCTTGTGGCCCTTAGCATCATGTGGACTTCTCAGCATGAAGGTACCCGGCGCATCATACAATTTGGGGTTTAAGGCTTAGCAGATACAAGCGATTCGCCTCGCAGGACTTGAGACCACATGGCTATACTCAATGGATCCTAGAGATTCGTGTATAAGTAAGCCTCCCCATGATCATAAATACTAAGTCGACAGGCAAAACAATCTGGGAGACTTTTTTTAACGGGGAAACTAGTTTGAGGAAGAATTCAGAAGGTCTGAATCATCAATGCGAGGGGTCCTGAGGGAACTAGGGGCACGGGCACAGAATGGGGATTCATCATGGAGATCTCCTTGATTTCCTACATTTCTATCAGGTTTGCGAGCCTTTTTTGTGTTGGACCTCTTGCCCTCAACCCTATACAGCCCAAAGCCTAAACCCGTACAGGAGATGTAACTAGAGTTCGGGATCTCCTTGATTGCCTCAGTTTTTGTTATCGCAATCAGGTTTTAGCGTACTTGGGGGGTCGGGGGACTTAGTAAGTAGGTTAATAAAAGGGATAAGTGGGATCACTATATGGGTTCTAGGGGTTGAAAGTATACTTACTAAGTCCCCCTGGCCCTCCAAGTAGGCTGTAGGATGTGTGCACGAGAACCTAAAGGATCTCTAAATAGAACTAGGCAGATCTCTTCATTTTGTAGAGCTTCTCTGCACTCCGCGTAGAACCGTAGTAACAATATTCCTCTTTCCCATTCCTTGGGGTTATACCATAATGAAAATGAACAGTATACTTCCAAAGGAGACTGCAGCTCTATCTTTTCCCCACCATTCTTTGCGGGGTTGATATTTTTACGGCTGTGTACCGTCGCCACTGGTGCACCCATTCTTCCACCGCGGTTCTGCCGGCGTCATTTGGGACCCGCCGGTCCTCCCCCTTGAAGCTCCTCTTCCAGACCCTCACAGAGTCATCTCAGGACCGGCCTCTCAACTCCTCGTCCTGACCCTCCCGTCGCCATCTCGGGTCCCGGCCTCTCCCCCTTTCAACTCGCACAACTCATTTTCATTGTGTCGCCTATTGCTGTCCTTTCCTGTTGTCCCTTCTTCATCTCCTTCTTCTCCTCTCCTCTATTGTCTCTTTAGATTCTGGTAAAAGCTACACATCCGGTCCTGTAATAGATCGAGAAATGCTTAAATGGACGATTGCTCCCACGATGGAGATTCTGCCCCCTGCATAGGGCTTTGATACTCACCTTGTGATTAGGGGGTTGTGGA